TACATAGTCATGACATTCTATGATTAAATTAATTTCTGCAAGGTGTAATTATAATAATTTATACTGGGAGAGTCTTTCTCACCTGAGAATGTGGTCTGGTACTGTTTTGTTTAAAATCTAAATGCTCTCTGGTATTGTTCAGGTAGCCGGACCAAATGTGGAGGCGGGCCAGATCCGGCCCGTGGGCCGTAGTTTGGGGACCACTGATCTACAGCCTGCAGAGTGATCAACAGTCGTACCACAGTCTACCCATCTTCTTGTTCCCTTCTTTTTGTTTTCCTGAACTGGAGCATCTCAGGTGGATCCTGAGCCAAAACCAGCCCAAATAATCTCTGTGGAGATTCCTGGGTCCGACTCGTTCCAGTGGGACCAAAGACTCCACTGCACGTCTTTGCCAAGACTTTCCGACTATGTGGCATAGCTTCTGCAAAAGAGCCAAGAACTCTTGGTGGCCAGCAGTCTGTTTTAAGGCGTTACCTTGGTGGCCAGCAGTCTGGTCAGGTAGATCTCAGAGACCATCTTGCTGCCCCGGTCTCCTTCTCTCTGGTCGCTGTGCTCATGGTTCTTCACCAGGTGCCAAAGTTTAGTTCCTGCAAACAGACAATGGTGGAGCGTCACCAGAGGCCAAGCCGGATCTCTACTGAGTCATGCCTGGCTCCTACAAACACCCAGGTCTACTCCATGAGGATCTCGGATGTTTCTGCAGTACCTGTCTCCTGGTCTGGGGTGATCATTGGAGCTCTGGATCTCAGGCTGTCGGGACTGCTGGACGTCCGCAGTAAGGACTCTGATGGCGGAGACGAACAGATGAGAACCAAAATATTTATGGTGACATAAATAAAACTACAATCAGTCTGGAAGCATTCAGCTTTTCCCACAGCGAGCTGGTCTTTAGGACTGATAAGGTAGAAGTCCTGGATCTGGACTCGGTAGCTGAACCCGACCCGTTAAACCCGACTGCAGCGACCGGTCCGGCTCACCGTATCTGCTGAGGGATCTGGTGAAGGTGAAGGAGTTGGCGATGTTGTAGGCAGAAACCTGCTTCTGGACCAGCGCCACCAGGGAACCATCTGTTACCTAGCAACCAGAACCACACATCAGTCGGCGAACCGCTTCACCGGCCCGTTTCCACCAACAACATTCTGTAAGCAAGAACCGGACCTGATCTGGACCCGGTTCTCTTTAACTCAGTAAAACATGTACCAGTACCATCCTCTGACCCGGTTCTGGTGGGCCCGGTTCCGTACCTGGTAGTGAGCCAACGTGTTCAGCCTTTTCCAGTCGCTCTCTATCTTGGTCGTCACGTCTTCATCCTGTAGGATAATCCGGGTCAGTCGGCCCTGCCGCCACTCTGAGAACACAGAACCGTTAACAGAACGGGTCAGAACAGGTCAGACGGGGCCAGCAGAACCAGGAAGCGTGGTGGAGCGGTACCGAGGTCCATGTCGTCAGCCTGCGGCCGCTGGGAGAACGGGATTCCTTTGTAGACGGCGTCCAGCAGCTTGTCTTTGACCTGGGTCACTGTGTCACAGTTCAGAACCTTCACCGGCACCTCGGTTCCGGCTTCGCCCTCCGGAGGGATGCACATCAGCGTCTGAGGGAGAGATGCTCCGTTTCTACAAAATTCCTGCTCCAGAAATCAGCAGCAGAACATCTCAGAATCTGGCCTGCTGCCTGGAGGTCCAGTTAAGGAGCCCAGTGGGACCCCAGCCTGAAGTCTGACCCAGTTCTGACCCGGTTCTGTCCCAGATCTGGGATCAGCAACCAGAGGACTGGGTTCTGGTTGAAAGCTCAGATTGGGCTCTGAAACCAGAATGCCGGGTCAGAACGAGTGACGGGATCACTGGGAGTCAGGCTACATTTCAGAGTAAGGAAGGCTCTGCCTGTCGGTCCAATCAGAACCGACAG